CCTCCTTGTAGTTTTGTTTAGAATGATTTGGAGAACGTATTCTGGAGAGAATGTATGCAGCTTTATTTCTTTGCTAAGGAACTATGGAAGGTGACAGGATAATCTCTGCCCCTTCAGATGGGATTAGCATCAGCAATGGTGCTCAGAGAACACGAAATCTTCATGGGTATTCTCTTTTTCCTTTCTTTTTTTCTTTTTTTTTTCCTGCCATATTTGATGAAATATCTGTGATAGCTTTATAGAAATAATAGATTTCCTAAAACCTCTCATCTCTTCAGACGTCTATGTCAAACTGAAGTGTGAAGGCCTTTTCCATTGTTTTGAGTTCAGAAGTTCATACTCAAAGTATTAGGTTTTTTTGTACTTTTGATTTGAAAGATATAGAAGCTTCTCTACACACTCCCCCCTTGATTGTCCTGACTGTTGCTGGGGTTATTATAGGCTTTGAATAGATATGAACCATTATCTTGACTGTTTGTTTAGTGTGGCTGATTTTGCAATCTTTTGTAGGAGGACTACTGGCCCTACAAGACGTTCCACAAAGGGACAATGGACTGCTGAAGAGGTATTTTTTCCTTTTGTGTTTTACCGTGTTTATAACTTTATTTTATGTCACTGATGATGATTTCCATTACCGTTGACCATTGTTTGATTATGATGATTACTGTTCTGTTCTACATCAATATGACTAGTATAAATAATATTTGTCTTGTGTTAACAAATGTGACTGTGCATCCAGGATGAGATTCTGCGAAAAGCTGTTCAACGTTTCAAAGGAAAGAACTGGAAGAAAATAGGTATAATTTTGAAGTTTTAATGTTTCCCTCTGATGGCTACAATCAATGATAGGTTTCATTTTGCTTCAGCTTGTCAATTACAATGATTTCTTTCATCTCTTCATTTGTTCAAGATGTTAAGACCTTATGCCACATGGCTTTGAATTTTGTTTTTGACTTCTGTTGGAAGTGCTTTTCTAAGAGAGCATTGAGCTCTAGACAAATGATTTCTGGAAGTGCTAGCTTTAACATTAAAAGGCTGATGTCTTGCTTTGCAATTGTTCTTTTACTCATTTGATTGGCCCCTTAGCGTCTTTCTATTCTTAGCTTTTGGAAGTTATTATCAAGGAAGTGATTTTCTGCTGAAATATGTTTATAAAGCCATTTCTTGTTTTTGGTGCTGTCTGGAATCATGTGCTGCTGTTCATAACCTATTTGCTTATTCTTCTGGTGGAAGTTTACTCATTCTCTTTTCAATGGTGCAAATGACCAAATTATGTTAGTTCTTCTCTGTTGGGTCTGCTGTTTACTTTTGTTTTCATCACACTTAATACCATCTCATTGTAAAATTGAACTGTCTGCCTGCAGCGGAGTGTTTCAAGGACCGAACTGATGTCCAATGCCTACATAGGTGGCAGAAGGTTTTAAATCCAGAACTTATCAAAGGGCCATGGTCAAAAGAGGTGATTGTTATGTCATTTCCATCTTTGTGAAATTATGTTCTGCCATAATTATGGCAAACCTTTTAATATGCTGAGTGTCACAAACTTCTTTCATATTTAATAATTTGTTAGCAACTTCTGCAATCTTTAAACAGGAAGATGAAATAATAATTGAGTTGGTGAAAAAATTTGGACCAAAAAAGTGGTCCACCATTGCTCAGCACTTAGCTGGTCGTATTGGAAAGCAGTGTAGGGAAAGGTATGAAAACCAGAGCTGATAGCTTAAAAAAACTAGAACCTTTTTAACTATTTCCTACCACTCACCCTTTTTTAGCATTTAGTTAATCATGTTATTTCCAAAAAGTTCGTCATGATCTTTGTTCTTGGTGATGTTATTTTGTTGGATTATTATTCTCACATAAATCCTTGAAACTAGGTGGCATAATCATCTTAATCCTGCCATAAACAAAGAAGCATGGACTCAGGAAGAGGAGCTGGCTCTGATTCATGCGCATCAGATTTATGGGAACAGATGGGCAGAGCTGTCGAAATTCTTGCCTGGAAGGTTAAGTTCATTAAATGTCTAAGAGGCAACAACTGTGCATCTTTTTGTCTTAATCTTTAAGTTGCCTATTATCTGTGGTTGATATTTATTTTTGTTTCTCATTAACCTTTTGGAAATCTTCTGTGTTAAATTTTTTATTTGCTTGCTTGGCTGGTTGGTGGGTTCACTGATGTGATGCTGACTAAAAGCATGAAAAATTTGGGTCTAAAGTACTGCTGACCTGAGACTTCTCTTTTGCCATTCTTACATGGTTAACAGGACAGACAATGCAATAAAGAATCACTGGAACAGTTCTGTGAAAAAGAAATTAGACTCTTACTTGGCATCAGGTCTGCTAGACCAGTTCCAGTTCCCTCTTGTTGTAAATCGAAATCAACACATGCCTTCATCTTCTTCAAGGCTGCAAAGCAATGTGGATGACAGTGCTCTCAAAGGTGGGACAGAAGCAGAGGAAATATCAGACTGCAGTCAGGATTCTGCTAAAATGGATTGTTCTCTATCTGCAAATGACTTGGCGATTGAAGTACATCCAGGAGTCCAACTCCAGCAGACTGAAATGACCAATGCAGCACTGGACCAACACTCCTGTCCAGCATCTTATTCAGAACCTTATTATGCTTCTCTGGATGATATCACCTTTTCCATATCAGACATGCCCTGTGAAGCAGGGTACTCTTCCAAGTTTGCTGAGCAAAATTTCTCTTGTGATGGTGGAGCCCCTGCAAGTGTGGGTTACCAGTTTAATTTACAGAATCTAGCTAACATGTCTTCATTGGAAATGGATCATGACTCGTCAGGATTGGCAACTCACTGTATGGGTGCTAGTGAAAATCATGAGGTGGAAAATGTTCCATTTCCATCTATTGTGCAGTTAAGTGCTCCTAATTCTGTGGAAAATATGGTTGCAGGCACTGACAAACTAGAGCATATATTGATAACAGATGATGAATGCTGTCGGCTACTATTCTCAGAGACAGTTAATGGTGGATGTATTCCTTCTAGAAATTTTACCCAAGCCTCAAATATGGTTAACTTGGGTGGATGCACAAATTCACCACTTTCTAGGCCTTCAGAACGGATATCTGAAACTGGAAGAAATTTTGATCCACAGCCTAATCTCCCTTCAAGATCTGATGTATTGGAAACTTCATGCTGTCAGTCTTTCATGCCTGTACCTTCACTACTTTCAGCTGAGGGTTGTGCACTTATATGTAGTAGAGAACATGGTGATTGCCAATTTGGAACTCAGGAGCAGGATTCTAGTGAAAGGTTACAAGATAGCTTTATCCATGCAGATGACACTGCCAGTTCTCCATGTATTGATACAGATACCACAGGCCTGCAAGAGCAATCACACAATGCCAAGGATTCTTTGAAGTTGATTCCAGTAAATGCTTTTGGTTCAGGATCAGATGTAAATCAGTCCTGTCCTGTGGATGAGAAGCCAAACACCCATACTGAACAGGATGCTGGAACCCTATGCTATGAGCCTCCTCGATTTCCCAGTTTGGATATTCCATTTTTGAGCTGCGATCTTATACAATCTGGTACTGATATGCAGCAAGAATATAGCCCCCTTGGCATTCGCCAGCTGATGATGAACTCTATGAACTGTGTTACTCCATTCAGATTATGGGATTCTCCTTCTTGGGATGATAGTCCTGATGCTGTGCTAAAAAGTGCTGCTAAAACTTTCACAGGCACGCCATCTATATTGAAGAAACGCCACCGCGACTTGTTATCACCTTTGTCAGAAAGAAGAAATGATAAGAAGTTGGAAACTGATCTGACATCCAGTTTGGCCAAAGATTTTTCTCGTCTGGAAGTGATGTTTAATGATGTTGAAACTCGAAAAGGCTCTCAGCTGCCTAGGTCAGATGACCACATAAACAACCCTTGTGATCCACTTGACGATAAAGAAAACCTCAGTCATACTCTTGCAGGGGGACAAGAAAATCGTAAAGATTCCATTGCACCACCCAATGATAAAAAGACTTTTTATGGTGGTAAAAAGACCAAGGTTGATGCTGATGCTTATCAAATTGTAAGTGTCTTGTTTTTTCATGAGTTTGATTGTTTTTATTAATTTAATTCTTTCTTCTCCTTAATCTTTCTAATGCTAGTTTCATAAGAGCAATGGCAACTAGCATTAGAAAATAGAGCACATCTAGGATAATAAACCCATCCATGTGGTGTGAGAATGGCTGTGCTGACTGTTTTTTATCCAACATGGCCCATTCAGATATAAACCATTTATTATCTTGTCCACAATCTAGTGCTGACTGTTGGTAATTTTTGGAGCAGAAACCATTTAAGTAATGTGGATATATTGTCTTTCATCAGCAATTGGTTTATTTCTCACATGTTTGTTAGGAATTTGTATTATATAGATGCTGACAATAATGTTGTTAATGTTGAAAAATGAAAACTAATGTACTGATTCTGGTGGTGGTGCAGCAGCATACTGGAATCCTTGTTGAACATAATAAAGACAATCTGCTATTGTTTTCTCCTGATCAAGGTGGTCTTAAAGTAGACAAAACATTTGCTTTAACTGCTCAAACTCCTACAAGTCAGCTTCATAAAATCTCTGGAGTTATATCTAATCGAGCTCATGCCTCCAAAAATTCATCTGAAAATCCTTGTCTACTTGTTTGCTCTCCCACTGCAAGAACGAAGAACAGTGAGAATCACTTAATTGCTGTTACATCAGTTGAATGTACTACTTCATCAGCACCTTTGGAGAGTAAAGTTAATGGTGGAAATGACACTGTTCCTGAATATTATAACATGTAAGATACAACTTCTTTCTTTTTCTTTGTAATTGGCATTATGTTGTGACTACATATATGTCGTTGAGCACTGCTTTGGTTTACATTTTCTTTCAATTGCCATGGTAGCGTTTGTTTCCTGTGATTGTTTCATGCTTCATGGTGACATGGTTTTCATGTCCAGATTTGGTGAAACTCCATTCAAAAGAAGTATTGACTCCCCATCAGCATGGAAGTCCCCTTGGTTCATCAATTCTTTTCTTCCAGGATCAATTGAGGTATCACTGTGCTTCTGTTAGATTTATAGTGCCATAATACTTGGGATTTCTCTACC